CTTTTCTTACTCCATAAAAAAATAACATGACTTGAAGCTTTTGTCTCTACTCTTGAAACTTTTCAGCATTTTTCAACGTTTCCAAGTGACTTCTAAAGTCAGCGCGGATGCCTACACGGGGCGGTTCCGAGACCGCCCGCCTGGCCTCCTTTCACCGAGGGCTTCCCTCATCCCTCCCACCCCACGAGCAGTGAGCTCACAGCCCTGAGCACAATTGAGCACAGACCTACAGGGGACTGAGCTGGCAAGGGCTACTGACCCCAAATGGGTCATAAATCTTCTCTGGAAACTGAAAAATGAAATTGGGAGAGAATAAATCTCCTGTACTCTGTAAAGTCTAAATCTGGAAAATCTGGAAATTACAGAATCAGTGTCTTCCATCCATACCATGAGAAACAGAAGCCAAGGATGCCAATCTGCAGGAAGAAAAATGAAGCAGATGCAATATAATGACAAGATACAGAAAAATCAGACGCCTAGTGTCTTCTTCGGGTTTGGTTACAGTCCTGTTTTAGAATTTATGAGACATCTGGCTTCTTTATGATAAAGACTTCTTTTTAATTAAGCTAGCTTAATTTGGTTTGCTGCTGTAAATAGTACCAACTGATGATTTCATCTGTAGTATTTGGTGACCTGTTCATGAAGTTAGAGTCAACGAACTTCAATCTAATTAAGACCAGTCACTAGATTTTGACTAATTCCAGGTTATTTCAAAAGCATGCTTTCAAACTTGACACGACACAGAACCTGACACAAGTTTATGATCTAGAACTCTGACCACTAAGATCTTTCTTGCTAACAACTTGAATTACAATAAATCAGTAACTGTCACTCTTTGGAATTAACATATTCTTTTAAGCAGCAGCACTACTGAATTGTAAAGAACAAACAAAACAAATTATCATAAACATCACTCAACTTTTCTTTGGAAAAGAAGTCAGTCACTGAAAGAACTGTTTAAAAAAAAAAAAAAAGGCCGGGCTCATTGGCTCAGCCTGTAATCTCAGTGCTTTGGGAGGCCAAAGTGAGTGGACTGCCTGAGCCCGTGGGTTCAAGAGTCGCCTGGGCAACTTGGTGAGACTTCATCTCTACAATAAATCAAAAACTAGTCGGGCGTGGTAGCACATGCCTATAGTTCCAGCTACTTGGAAGACTGAGGCGGAAGGATCTCCGAAGCCCAGCAGGTCAAGGCTGCAGTGGCCGGGAGTGGCCACTGCACTCTAGTCTGCGTGACAGAGTGAGAATCCAACACACACACACAAAAAAGCCAGAGGCAGTGGCTCACATCTGTAATCCCAGCACTCTGGTAGACCTAGGTGAGAGGACTGCCTGAGCTCAGGAGTTTGAGACCAGCCTGAGCAACATGTTGAGACCTCATCTCTATAATAAATCAAATGGTGGTACATGCCTGTGGTTCCAGCTACTTGGAAGGCTGACACAGAAAATCACCTGAGCCCAACAGATTGAGGCTGTGGTGGCCGAGAGCGTGCCACTGCACTCCAGCCTGGGCGACAAAGTGAAACTCTGGCTCCAAAAAAAAAAAAAAAAAAAA